CAGAATATCATGTTCGAGACAATTACAAAGTTTACTTGATAGTATCTCCTGGACGTAAGTGAATAGCAGCGAGGCCCCAACATTTAGTTGAAGCTACTTGAAGTCGTTCTCGAGCATCATATGACACTGATAATCCTAACAAGTCGCTCTCATCTGGCGGTATCAATTCTCTCGCGTGGACACACACCTGTCAACACCGAGAATAGATAATATAACAGTGAGTTAATCATAAATTAAAAGGAATGCAGTAAGCAGATTAGTAAAGCGTAACTTGTTTGGTTACAGCATTTCTCAAGAGTCACAGCCTCTACCCGGAATGAATTCATACCGCATCTTTCGACATCAATTCTGATGCAGAATACGGATGTACACTAATTCTTTTCAGTGAAGTCATAATTTACAAAGTAGTAGAGTTGTATTATCCGTTAAATTGTTGTCGACCGAAGTTCAGAATTTGTTTTTATTTCTGATAACCAAGGATAGTTACTGTATAAACATTGACAGCTCGTAGCAATTTAGTTTCACGTTTCATTATCAAAGTTTCAATAGTGGACTGAATGCGACGACAGTGCGAATATGCATTTCGCCGAAGTTTTACAGAAGCTTTCTAAACATTCAAAAAACCCTTAATCACTTTAACACATGACACGCAACATGAAGTTTATCAAGGGTTTAACTGTGATGAGCAACTTTCCCATAGTCTTACGACATCAAGAGATGCTATTCCTAAATTTAATTTTCTTTTTTCTTCCTGTTTTACCATTCAGATAATCTATTTACAAGCAATACATTAGATCGGCAGTACTTTCCTCACATGTCAAACTTTTTGAGATCGTCAATAAGGTTCAGAACGCATTAAATATTTTTAGGTAAGAAATACAGGTGTTGGCTTATGCATGATTCTTATTAATGTCATAGAATCATGGATTTCAATATCATCGACAGAAAGAATGATGTCACCGACGAATGCTAAATTAGGTGCCGCTCCGTATGGATCCACATACACTACCTAAAAAAAAGCAGTAGTTTTAATAAAGTTTTGCTAGCTGCCTTTTTGTTTTGAATCATCTCTTTCCTATTTTCCAATATCGTCTCATATCCTATACAATAGACGAACATACTCGTGCATAAAAATTTTTGCCATCTCTAAAAGAAAATCAAATTCGAATTATAAAGATGAGATTTGAACATCACACCTTCCGTGTAGCCTTTTGAATTCTTATACCGAACGGCTTGTTCAAAATTATCGTTTCCTAAACATATCTAAAGTGTTTAAATCCGAAAATTTTCATCCTATTGAAATAAATTTCTACTTCATGCATACCGTATGCATGAAGTAGAAATTTATTAGTAAAAAACACCATATAATCACAATTCAACTCAAAGCTATCGTCAATATTATCTCACATCAAGCACAACTGGATTACCATTACTACCATAATTATTTGCTCACAGCTCACCCAATCCATACAGAGAAACATCCGCATACAGTTGTGCCTATCTTTGCTCCACCATTATATCTTGTTCCACTTACGTCAATGTCCTTATCTAAATTTTCTTCGCAAACTTTTTAATTAAAAAGTCATCGGTGGTATTACCACGCAGCAATATTCTATGTGGCATGATAGCAGAAGGAATCAAATACACACTTCTGACGGTCCTGGATGATTCCATAGCCTTGATTCCTTATTTCTGCTGTCATCCATCCAGCAATAAACAATTCGACAACAGTAATGTCTCACATTATACTTTGCTTCATTTATACAGTTTGATAATTGCTGTGCTTCATTGTAAATTGTAAATTTGAAATAAAGCAACAGAAACGTCGACTTTCTTCCAACTCTACCTTGTACGGCACCACCCACCTTCCGCGAAAATGTAAAGAAGCAAGATATTTGAACTTATCCATTTAATCATTGCATCCATATTCTCACCATTAGTGTGAAATTGGGTGCTTCTACACATCAGACATAAACACTAGTGTCCTAACTACAGTACAACGGTCTGTACTGAAAGGAAACTTTGGCTCCAACATTACCGGATCATTGGTAAACTACCGCTGAATTATGAATGAAGTGACTATTATAAACTAAATCATATTTCATCTTTGATGCCTAGGCCTCGTCTAGTCATCCTTCTCCTTCTCCTAATTTGTCTCGCAGTAATTCATTCATGATCCACCCCCTCGTACTTCCATCCTTCACTTCAAAATTCACCAAGTACTCATCCTCGACTGACACCACTCCTCACGGACCATACATCTACAAAGACATGCATACAGACAGTGGGTGAATTGATGGGAGCTATGACGAAATATCAGTGATGAAATAAGTGGAGGAAAGGGTGGCGGTATTGTTTTGTGGCTTTGCGTGGTGTGTTTCATACGGGCTTACAGATTTTCACGTCAATCACTCAAAAGCCACACACAACTAACTCCTTGAATGATGTCACGAGCAACTTAGTCTCGTCACCTCTTCGGGCCTCTCCTTAGCTAGAACAGCGATATATCGAGCGTCTCATTTCCCCATACTGCAGTTAGTTGTTTACCTCACTTATCCCCATACTTATCAGTATCATTTCTCTCCTTCGCACTTTTGGTATACTAATATCAATATCTCCCTTGTCATCTCTCATTCTCTTTGTTATGCAGTGAAGGTCCACTTCGTTCCTTGCATAATTTCTGAAATACAAAAATAATTATTCTCCTTCTCCTGCCATTACTTTTGTCCCAAAATTTATGAATCTGTGAGAGTAGCATATTGTATATTTTATATTAAACATAAAATGGATGCAAGAAATGAATGCAAGTTATTAAAACATTGCGTTGCATCTTGCACGAACATGCATCGTGCATGCTTACGCACAATGGTCCTATTCTCAACCCCATGATGGCATAATAGAATGATGAGGCATTTTGTACCGTTAATGCTAATAATATTGCAATTGTTGTAATTTGCACTTTGCATTCGTGATGAGATGGGATGAGATGAGCGAACAGCAAAAATCGCGTCGATTTTTGATTCTTGATTCTCATTTAACAAATATGATTATTGCAGGCACTGCTGCGATTTTTAGGTATTTATTTACAGTGGTGCTGTTGTTCCATCAAGTGTGAAATGATTTGCTAGAGGATTCGGGGTATCCAGACCTCTTACGCTGTGATTCTTATACGTTAGCCTTCCAAAAAACATACGGGTACGGCGCTTTTCCGTGGTAAGCCCTTTACCTATCAATTTATTTCAAGGAACCGAACAAGTAAATGATGTTAGAAACAATACACTAATGATTCTGGTAAGGATAACTGCTAGAATCACTAGTGCACTGTTTCAGTTTTTATTCGAAGTCTTAGTCCACATTACTAGAGATTTCCGTTACCACTATGACCTTATTAGGTCATAGTGCTTGTGGTTATGATAGAGCATAACGGTATCAGTTTCGGAAACTGAACTCAATTTTGAGTGCGAAGGAGGAAAAAACATTTGTACAGTATTTTTTAATCTAAGTAGATATCAACAGAGATTTATTGTTAGTATTAGTATCACAAACTTTATCACATTATTATTAGTATCACAAACTAATAGTGGAAGCGATATTAGTATCACAAACTAATAGTGGAAGCGGTATTAGTATCACAAACTAATAGTGGAAGCGGCACAGCAGTAATATCGTTCGTAATTATTCCTGCATAAGCTATAATGAACTATCCATTATCTTTTAAAATAGTTTTTGCTGTGAATGGTAAAATTTAGTGAAATTTTTGCCACAAAGTAAAGGTTAATTTCCAGCGAACTCCTATTGGTTGCTATGTATCCTGTCGATGAATGCACTTCGTCGTCGACCTCAGCATCTCATAAACAATCCAAACCCAATAGTGGCATGGCAGCTGCACAAAGTAATGATGCTTTGAGTAGAAAGCGTACAGCAGCACGACAGCTTCCACGAATTATGTTGCATCCAAACGCTCCACAAAGCGATGGTGCAGTGAATAGTTTAACTACAAATGATTACTCGCAAGGTCGTTTATTGTTTACGTCAGTGTGTCTCTATGTTCGGTAATACACAGAGTACTGAACTACTAAATTCTCTTCCTGCTAGACCCACGGTTTATTGACTTTAATAAAAACTATGCATAAATTGAAAACTTTTTTCGGAATTTGCTGACCTTTTAATTTAGTGGTTTTCTGTCTATTTGAAATCCCTAATTTTGTATTTTCTGAATGATTTTTTGCTGCTTTCTTCTCTTTGGTATTTGTTATCACAAATGAGATAAGTTAGCAACTTGTATTTTCCATCACTTATAAAATTCTATCAAATCATTTCAAAGATAAGTCAGGAGTTTTTATTGTACCTTTTCTATTTTTATTTTTTATTTTATTTTTTTGGTTACCAACTTGAAAGCTGGTTAGGTTTCAGTAAGGAAGAGCAGTCGGTATGTGTCTGACACTTGTCGCATTCCATAAGTTTATCTCAACACTACATGCAATGTTTTTAAATTTGGATGACTCTTTCGTAACTACGAAAATATAAATAGTATACTTTTGCGAAGTGGGAACATTTTTTACATAACGACTAGTACCCTGAGCTTTCAGATCACTAAAACTTCATAAATCAGAGATAAAAAATCTGTATTCGAAATATGTTGGTATCAGAGCTTATTCAAAATGGCGAAACATTTTTCACAGCATATATCCACTGCAGAATGCATTTTTTTGAGTGACGAAAATACTGAAAAGTAGTTAATAGGACTTGGACAGCATGGAATAAATAGTTGGAGTTTTCCGCACCATATGTTTGACAGGAACTGTTATAACAGTTTTAGCTTACGAAGATAGTTCGTGTATTCGTTTGCTTCAGTTTCACCTATCATAGTTTCCTAAACGGCATCCTGAAGCAAAGATTGGTATTAAGCTTAGCATTTTTTCAGAGGATAATGGAACTGATGCGAAAAAGCGTTCACGAGATGTTGGAACACATGGCGATTTTACATTGTCGGAACTGAGTGACAGTCAGTCGAAAAGTCCACTTTGTTACGCTAAGGATTCGGCAAAAGTTGGTAGATGACCTCCACTGTTGTGTAAATTAAATGCCATAAAATATCACTTCTGTAATTAGTATTTCGGTTTTCATGTCATGTATTTCAGAGAAATCGGACGTGGCCAGAAGTAAATAACACCGTGGTTTGTGGTTATCAGCTAGTCGGTGCTGGGAAAGAATTTGTAGCATATCACATCGAGAAAAAATTGTAAAAACTTGTCAGGTCAGCACTAACTGCATGACAAAATATGTTTTTGCAGAATATAATTCTAGTATCAGCTAAAAGCTGGAGTTCAATAGTTTGGACACTTCTCTGTACTACCAAAAAGTAAACTCAGAAATTCAAATTTCTACAACTTTTCTACAAATATTTTCCAGCTCATCGACAGTGAACAATATATGAAACTCCTGACAATTGCAAGTCGTCTGAATGAGGCCAAAAATTATTGGAAATACGAGGATCTGGAGGAGATGAGGTTTTTACATAGTGTAATTAGATATGAAAGGGATATAGTTTGTCCGGAGTGAAAGAGCAAACTTTGTCAGAGCTGAACGGGAACATTCTAAGCTCTCCATTTCGGTTTTGTGAATTTTGTATCACTTGTTACTGGTTATTAATATTCCTGTTCTTTTCAGAGAATTTGTATTGTCCTCAGGGACGGAAGTATGTGCGGATAATGATGGTCAGCGTTTTATGTTTTCAAATTGGCAGTATGGTACCCTGCACAGTAAGGTTCAGGCTGGCAAAGTTAAGCTTTCGGAAAGCGAAGCGTTTTCACTGTTTTCAAAAATTGTCAGAGGAATTGCTTTTTGTCATGCCTGCGGGATTGTTGTACGTGATGTCAAATTGCGAAAGTTTGTCTTCACAGATAAGCAGATGTAAGTTTGTTCTGTCTGCTTGAGCTTAAAATTTTCTTTTTCTTTGGTGGACTTTCTACGTTCATTGTCCTACTGGGATTAATTAACATAGTTTCAGGACACAGCTGAGACTACGAGATATATTTGATGTTTTTGTTTGCGAGGATATCAAAGATGATCGATTACGTGATAGACATAGTTGTCCAGCATATGTTGCACCTGAAATATTGAAGGATTCTCCCGAATATGCCGGTCGCCCGGCTGATATTTGGGCGCTAGGAGTTCTGTTCTATGTTTTATTATTCGGAAGGTTTGTGTCGGAAATAATTCAGACAATATAAAGTCCGACATTCATCTCTATTCTAACTACAAGGAGAATACGGTCTGGAGAGGATCACACAGGGAAAGCTAACATGCTTACCAATTTTTCATCAGAAATTTTTGCAGTTATCCTTTCAATGACACAACACCTCAAAGATTGTTTTACCGAATTCTGAAAGCAAAATTTAATATCCCATCACAGATTCCGATATCGCAGACAGGTATACATTATTACTTCATACAGTGGATGTTTCCCGAAACTTGTTAGTATTATTCTTGATAAAATTCATATTCTTCCTATTTATAATAAATTTTTTCTTCACAATATTTGTATTGTGGTTTGAATGCATGGGTTCGACTTGAAACAGCTAGGAAATTACTTTTTGCAGCACGTGCTTTAATTTTTGGCATGTTGCGAAAAGAACCGTCAGAGCGTCCCACCGCTGAACAGCTCCTCTATGTACCATTGGAAGAACAATGTTTGGATGACTCTAATATTATATCATTTCGTTCTATTTTACCAGGTATTTAAATCATCAAGCTATTAGCTTACGATTTGCATATTGGATTTCTTATGCTTTAAAATTTTGTTTCTTCTGTCACTGCCAAGCATATATGCATGAATTTGCTTAAGGTTGGCTGGAAATACCATCTCGTATTGCACTTCTCGGCATAATCAGTAACCCAGCTTTTGAATTCGCACGGCGAATCATGAAGGTGATTTTTAACTTCCCACTCAATTATATATATATATATATATGTTATCAGATTGTTTTTCATTCAAGTTTATTGGAAGCAAGAAATTGATTACTGTTTTTAGAACTGCTTAAAGGGTGATCTAGCAAAGTTCTGGTTTCACAATGTGGCGTAGAAAGGTATAAATAATAGTGATAATAGTTTTTATTTTTTGGAGATGAACAACGAAACTGAAGACCAGGTAGTACCAGCTTTCTTGCCTGCAGTGCGTAAAGTTCAACGACATTTGCAAGTAATGCGCGACATCATGGCTGACTCGTCTTTGGCCACAGCAGTCATTGAAGAAAATGACGATGAATCGTCTTTCTCTTCCTCTTTTTTATATTCTGGTCCTGTTATTGCTACCACCACAATTGCTAGTAATGCAGCTTCTGCTACACATAGAACAACATAGCGTCAGTGATTTTGTTATACCAGGAATGATTTTCTTCGAAAATAGAGTGAATTTATCATTTTTAATTTATCATCATTTGTCATCTGGATGAGCTCGGATTTTATTTCTGCAATCTTGGAAGTATTGAAAATATTTTCTTACGGCACATAACCTGATTAATTTGGCAACAGAGAATATTATTGGTAAAAATCAGTAGGAAACTGTACAATCAAAACGGGCTGATACCGTGAAACTTTCTTTCAGTGAACAGATCAGAGGTATGAACGATGTTATCGGTTTGTGAAATTTGACTTTTGGGAATTAAGGAAATGTAGTTTGGGGTTGATAGTCACGGCTGCACAAATATCGTTTTATTTATTCAAAAGCATTTATGGCAACATTTATGTAGAATTTGGACGATTGAATCTCTCAACATTTTGTTTTTTGGAATATCATGGTTTTTTGAGGAATGCGTAATATAAATTCTCGTGCTGACCTTGAAATTAAAGGATTCATTTGTAACCACTACTTCATTTGTTTCGGAATTGCTTCTTGAACAAGATTAAATTGAACGGGACAGTAACACTAATCTTTTGGACTAGTTTTTTTTTTTAAAGAATTTTTTATTCGATCTTTTTTTTTGTTTGAAATTTTTTTATTTGAACAATAGAGTATTTATTGAAATGCAAATTTTACATTTCTGAAGTATTTTTTCGAACGATATGACTACACATTGATTTGGCATGTGTCTTTTCAAGCACAACAAACTTATTTTATGCTATGTCAAATAAGCCTTACTGAATATTTTTTTTCTTAATTTTACCAGCACAGAAGCATCTTTCCCGTTTTACATTAGTCTCATTCTTCATTACTGTTTCAGAAACTATTATTTCCTGTGATTATTGTGAATTTCTTTTTCACCTATATTATTTGAGCAGGTTCTTATATAGTTTTTCAAGATATAACTGGATGTCTACACATTTATGTTTTGGCCTTTCTGTTTTTGTGTTCACTTTCCTCTTGCAATATCCGTGCATTCGCTGCTGTTTTCTTCGGATCATACTCGCTGAACTCTCGTTATCCAACATTGCATGTTAAGAGATATTCACTAGAAAGGAATTAAACGCTTTTGACTTGGTTTTTTTTCCCAAATGGTGCATTTCATTTTTTCTAAGTCCCTCCCCACTTCCACATTCCGAAGATTTTACTATTTTCCACACGCATTAAGGATGCTTTAGTAAGTTTTCTAAATGCTCCTCGAAGGTACACATCAGCGCGACACTCTTGTAAAAATCCATGCCGTAATCTTTGTCTGATTGTTTATTATTACTGTAGAATATATGTATGGTATGCTGTTTATTTTTAAATCAGCTCAATTCCATTATCTTTTTTGCATTCATAACAATCGTTATTGGCAATGATATTAATTAGACAATGCCTGAAATCCTGTATGAAGTCTTGTACTGATCAAAAAAATTCCTCATCCAGTCATTCCTTCGTCCTCTTTGCCGTAGAATCATATGGTGTGACAAACGGCAAGATCATAAACCGACACACAAGCTCTTTTCAGAAGTATCTACATTTCACACCTAAGAGTTGTAGGTAAAGTTCGAATTGTAGAAGTTCAATTCACAAGCACAATGTATGAAAGGTTTCAAAAAAATAGCTAATATAGAGAGATTAACTTACGAGCAAGATTCTGCCTTAATTAACATTCAAACATTTGTTCAATCATATTACATATGACATGAGAGGAAAATGAAGAATTCTAATTTAATGGAGAGAGGATTTGACAAAATCCTTCACGACCACTGTTCGTTTACATTCGTACTTCCTTCAAAACGGTAGACTTGTTTCCGACAGGAGTATATCGCTTCTAACCTATCAAAGGTATTCAAAAGGCACTCATTTCCTCAATGCAATGCTTAGCTGTGATATAATAACATTAACTGAAACAAAACTTCATAAACTGTTTAACAATGACCATGGAAAGTGAAAATCACACGAGGTTTTGCTGCCGGTATGGCTTCGGCAATATAATGATGACTTTCAAACGCGTTTCACTTTCACCCTATTCTTGACTAGTTTATGTTTATACAGGGATAAATTATGTTAGACCTTTATGTGGGGCCCTGATGTAGTGGTGGTTAGCATCAATGCACCACTGAATTTGAAGCTTCTTTACTATCTTACAATATCCAAAACTTCTCTCTGTCATAATTTGGAAAACGAAGCAATACAGGGAGCATCTGGAATTGATTTGTGGTCCTGATTGAGTGAATGAGCTATGTTTGCCTGCCGAAACTGTTTCATTTGATTAAGAAACGATCTTTGTTCACATAAAAAACTGCAAAAAAAAAAAGAGTCAGAAATAATTTGGCAAAATGATCAGCTTTTCGTGACTAAGAACTCTTTGAAAAGAGTTCTGCATGTCTTAATCATACTGTGCATTCCCTGTACCCTGCACGACTTGGCCATTATTCCATCTATCGTGTGATAGATTGCAATGCTTAAATACAAAGCAGAGTAAGTTCTAATGATAGTCTATGTGAAGCGAAAATGTTCACGAACTTTCATCACTTCATTTGCGAAAAGATGATCTAAACTTGACCGTTGAAACGCTTAAAATAACTTCTATTTAAATCCCTCCATAGATCTAACAGAATTAAAATCGACAATTCTTTTCATTACCTTCATAAAAACAGTAAAATTCGAATGCAAACCATGGACATCTCAACACTTTCATTCTTATTCTTAAAAATCTCTAAAGATATGATTTACAGATCAGATTCGCAATGTTTCGTTAGTGACAGTTGTAACTAAGAAGTTCTTTAGACCATAAGCAGTTAAGTAAATCTCCACTGATGCATAAGTAATCTGCAGTGACTAATAAGCATTTAAACAAGAGAAAGTCGAATGATAAAGAGATAAGCCCAACGACTAGATTGTTTTGAAAGTTGTTTCCGCTACCTTCATTAGCAATGAAAGTCAGACCTCCTATCATTATTAGTCATATCGAAGGCCATGAGTTCGTTGACCTATAAAATGAACTCGTTTAACTCAAACATCCATCAGCGATCAATTAACAATTAGCACTCATTGCAATGTCTACAGGTTCACACGGACAATTTTTGTCTTTCCTTGCTTCGGTATTCTTTATATCTTGAAATATGCAAATTATTCTTGTCCTCTTCTGCCTACAAAAATACCACCCATTCTGCCTATATATTTCTGGAATAAATGAGCTCCTCTAATTTTTAAACTTGCTACCTTATCAAAAGGTCATGGCAATGACGCGATTATGTCTCCTCTGGAGTAACAAGTGAACTTCTTTGTTTTCCAACCAGAACGCTGCAACAGACTGTCCCGGTCCTGCCTGGTTTAAGCTGTCATTCCGTCCGTGACTCGACTGGAGTTTTAGGTGGCAGTGCGGGGTTCGACTAAATTCCCGGGGAAGAGGGGGGGTACGTAGGTGTAATAGTTATTACATCTGCCATCATCAGGAATGCACACAGTTTGTCACTTTGCCCTTGGTTATGAAAAGGTGGGAAATTGCTAAGTATGGCGTGGTTATACAACATTTCCCATTTTATCAGGTAATTAGTTTAATTTGTTATTTCTAGGAAATGGGACGACGACCGGCAAGGTGCTATCGTTATATTAAGAATAAGCCGTATCCGAAGTCTCGATTCTGTCGCGGCGTTCCAGATCCGAAAATTCGTATCTTCGATTTGGGCAAGAAGAAAGCTACAGTTGATGAATTCCCATTATGTGTACATTTAATGTCCAATGAACGGGAGCATCTTTCGTCGGAAGCGCTTGAGGTATATTTTATTGTAGCTTGAGATAGGGACTTCTAGAAAATTGTTTAAGAGTTACCAAAATTAATTTTACCAAAATTAATTGTTTGCATAATTCCAAGAACTTCCTATTCCTTCATTGGTCCTATCAAGCTTTCCTACTCTTATAATTTACACAGCAACACACAAATTATATGCGAGTTTTGAAGAAGATCAGGAAAAGTAGGTTAGCTTGTGAATGTTATAAGTCATATTTTCCCTCATGCCATTCTTTGTGCTATATATTTCATTCGAAATTTGATTCGTAATTCTCGTCCGTCTTCGGAAGCACTTGAGGAACTTTGTTGTAGAAAGTGTTGTACTCCATAATCCAAATTTCAAATATTTCTATTTTTAGGCAGCTCGTATTTGTGCCAACAAGTATATGGTGAAGAACTGTGGCAAGGACGGTTTCCACATGCGCGTGCGTAAGCACCCATACCATGTTGTTCGCATCAATAAAATGTTATCATGTGCAGGTGCTGATCGTTTGCAAACTGGAATGCGAGGAGCATTTGGTAAACCTCAAGGCTTAGTTGCGCGAGTTGATATTGGTGACATATTGATATCGGTACGAGTCAAGGAGCAGGTTCGTTTTACTTGCTGGGAGAAGTTATTTGGGATAAAACAATGTTGGACGTTATAGTGGAACTAATAAGTAAGTCTGCACTTTCGTCCGAACAATGTATCATGGGTTAATTGTTGTCAGTAACTTCGTAGCGAAAAGAGGATTCTTCCACTGAATTGAGAGGTAAATGGTGCTTCTTATGATATCCTGATTAACAGCAAAATCCAGCGGCTTATTCTTCTATTAAATACGAGCTATTCTCAGAAATGCTTTCTGTGACTCGCAAAGTCCCCCTCCTTTATGTAAGTTAATTCTTTATCCTAGTAGTATCGTAATAATATTAGGGAATTGATAATTGTCAATGTTTAGCATGAAGAGCATGCAGTAGAAGCTTTTCGAAGGGCGAAATTCAAGTTTCCGGGGCGTCAGCTTGTTGTGGTATCAAGGAAGTGGGGCTTTACAAAGTGGGATAAAGAGGAATATGAGAAGATGCGTGAAGAAGGACGTTTGATACCAGATGGTGCAACATGCAAACTTGTACGAGAGCACGGTCCATTATCGAAATGGATTCATAATCCTATTTAAAAGTTGTTAACTACTTTCATGTTTGTTTTTTGAATAAAGTATCTTTGATTTATATCACTTTTATCTATGATGTACGAGTCAGGTTTGATCAGGGAACCATAAGTTTTGTTGCAAAAAGTTCTACAAACTCGAGGAAGGGGTCCTAATAGCGCATTATTAAACATCATTTGTTGGAAAAATTTTGGTCATCGAGTCGTTAGGAGTTGCACTGTACTAGGGGTCTGAATCGTCATTGTACTGCATGCATCAGTAGCAGATTCGGTTTGTAATTGTCTTGTGTTGCTTATTTAGGTGGAGCGTCATTTATTATTGGAGGTGGTAAATGTACAGATAGTTTTTGTTACATACCAATTTTTATTTGCTTTTGTGGACGTGCTTGAGCATTGACGCGTCGTAATCGCTGCATATTCGTGTTTCCTTCGGTTCTTCCATGGAAACTGTGACATGCTTTTTGGTTGGAGAATTGGTTTGTTTCATAACACTTATCACAGATTTTGGTAATTTCATACTTTTCAAAATTGTCAGCTGCAAGTGGGTACTTTATTTGAATAATCAAATTAAATGAAGAAGCAGATTTGACGGACAAATGCTGGTTTACTGTTCATCTTGACGATGAAGACCATCCTCCCATTCGTTTGAAACAAGGTTGGCAGTGATCTGACCGTATTCATAACTAGAAGTCTTTGTGGTGATCCATGATATCTCACTTTGCCGTTACTGGTTAAACTATTATAATGTTAAGTTTTTATTTCCACAAAGTTGCCAGACCTGTTTTTGCGCTATGTGTTGTACGTCCTCAGGCATTTCAATATGCGTATCAGCTTCAACTCCCGTCTGAACCAATATCTGTATCTAAAACTTCAAGTGTCGTCTTTAAAATTCTATTTATTTATTGTTAAACTGTGCAGTAAAAATGGGACTCTTCTATTAATGAGGAAATATTGCTTATATAAAGCTGTTTCTGATTAATTTCAAAAAGATCAGGATTTTTTCTGATTAATTTCATGAAAGGATGCGTTTTTCCGTGCTCTTAAAGTCCAGTCTGGCTTTTGCCAAAATTTTGGAAGCCTTCTGCGATACGAAGTGAAACTGCTTTTTGTGTCATACAGGAGACAGTTGCATTGACTTCATATTTAAGCATTAAATTGCCAAATCTTTACCAAAATGTTTAACCTTGCAGTCATACCTGTCTTTTGGTATCAAAACCATGCCTTATCCAAAAAGCTAGCATCGTTTTGCTTGTAATGTATTCACCGTTTACTTTCCTGCAATCTTGATTAAATCCTTTTCGAATAACTATGTTAGTTGTCAAGACATTATTTATTACTATTGATTTTAATTTGCACCGGTTTTATTTAGTGAAGTAAATCAACCTGAAAGCTCTGCAGCAGTGCATCCGTTATGAAGTAATAAATCCTAAATGGGATAGATGAGAGGTTTTGCTAAGTCTTATATTACATGTATTTAAGCAGATTTATTTTGTTGTTATTAATGGAAGGCAGATGACCAAGTTTTTCAGTCATACAAAGGTTTTCACTTTTTTTTTTACAAGACTGTAGTCTTAATTTTCAGTAAATAGAAAATTACTTAATAATATCGCCAGGTCGAAGATGTACAGATGCCAAACTTCCCGGTATGACGCTTGCTACTTGCAACTGCTCTTTATTGTCATATTTTACGGATAAGCCAAGTTCCTGACCCAGATCCATGTCCGGAAATGATTCTATTCGAATTTGCACCTAGAAATTTTTCGCTACTACCAAATGGCAAAATATCTGGGATGAAATGTTGCGATGTCAGGATTTTTCCGGAGACTTTTCGCGGAATACAAGAAATCACCAGGATATCAGCAGTTTATTTTGAACTTTTATTTAAGCCAGCAAACTTGATAAATATAATATCACAAATACCATACCATATATACCTCAATAGCTCGCAATACCTTCAATGAGCTGCCCTTCTCAACAGTCAGCGTTTCGACGGTAGTAATCATGTGTTTGCAACACGAAAAACCGCACCGTTCCAGCGTAACTCTTGCTTCCTAGTAAGATGGTAAGTTTGCCTTTTGTCCTAATTTAAGAATAGTATATCTTCTAGTCTCTCGAAGGAAGCACCAATAAATCAAAGATAAAGAAGTGCATGAGCAACGAAATTACGAGAAATTTTAAATTAATGTAAGAAAGCTTAAAAAAGCAATTAGCTTTACTTGCAGTAAAAATATGCATTTAGTAAATGTAAATGATACAGACGATGACCTATGATATCATCACTTGTGGAAATTCCTAAAAGGTATATACTTTTCCTGATTTAAAAAGTTGTTCATTCAGATCCTTAATCGTTTGTAATTTTTTATGGTTTATCGCAATGATTTTATCACCCAGGCCCACTTTTCCAACTGATGAGCCACGCGACTCCACCATTGTCACCTGCGTTTCAAAATTTTATGCTTAAAAAAGCTATAATCTGTAGAAATGTATTTAGAGAATGAATTCCTAGAATTAATACAGGTGAATAATAGTGATAGTAAACATGCAAATAATAAGAAATAACTACAATTATAAAAAGTAATCCAGTATTTATCCTCGGAAAGGGCAATGAGAGGACATTGCCTTACTTTCACCTTTAAGCTAAATAAAAAACCCGAAACCCCAATGTTAATTAATACGTCTATTTCCGTTCCTCCCCGTTCGGTAGATCATGAATAGAGTGGTATCTAATTTTGAGCCTTAATTCTTCCACCCATCTATTTGCCTATACACTCGATTCTTAATCACTTTGCGCGCAAAACATTTATATGGCAGATAAGTTCAGTTGTACTACTAAACGGCAAATGCTTTTTTCGGATACTACGGGCACACGAATTTGCAGTACCTCCCACTCAGGTCCACTCTCGAGATTGAAAAGAGAATGAGTTCTGCTACATATAATTAACTCTCATTCAACATTTTACAGAGGCGATTTTTTTTTGCATGATTCAAAAACCTACTCTCAGATCACCTTTGTTGATTCTTAAACCAAAAGGCTTCTTTAAAATCACTGTTACCTGAAATCAATTATGTCATCTAATTACTTGTTCAACTTTCTCATCCAAATCAAAGCATTATGTTTACCTTCAAGTAGAGCTTTAAGGTTAGGAGTGGAGAACAACGATAAAATTAACAAGTAGTAAAATGAAGATAGTTGAAATGAATTTCGAACTAAGCACACTCTTATTTCAGTTGGAAAACTGGTCGCTTTTTTGGTCCTTTCGTCTGATTTCTGTCCTAATGACGACCTTAGCATGTTGTGTTCTTTTCACCAAAATGATAAAATGGACCGTTCTATAATATTCACCAAGTGAAAGTGTGCTCGTTGGCTGTTCACTTATGTTTTTAATATTGTAATAACTCGTTCTTTTCCTATAAAATTCGTAAAATGAAGTCTAATTTGATTTGATATATGCAATTAAATAGTTAATTAGTAATTGATGACTGTGAAATGAAACAACGGCCTATTTTTTTATCGAACCGCTTATCATTGTACTGTTTTTCACCCTCATAAGGCATATTAAAATGAATAGCGCAACAAATTTCCTTTGCTTCACAGTTCTTCAACAGAACTTCGACAAGATCTTTACGATACATTGCAGCAATCTATTTCCTCATATTTCTACATAAATGTTATTCTGCAATAATTCTATAGCTTATGTTCGAATGATATAAAATTGTTGAAGTTTGCGACTGAGAACAGCACTGAAAGCGAATTTATATGACTGTCAACAAAAAAAAGCCTAGGGGAAATTTAACTAATTTCATGTAAACATGTGTTCAGTATCCAAGAATATTTGAATCTCACCGTGTCGAAATAACCATCATCTGGAATCATTTAAGCTACTAAAATTAAGCTATTCTTTGGATTGTGTTTTACTCTTTTCATTAATAGTTGATTGAACTCAGCTATAAAAAAATGACAGATGTCGTTAGCCTCGTCTAATTTAACTATCCGGAATAACTTGAGCAGCTGAACTGCAAGCAGATCACTGCATGTTGTTTGTGTTTGCATGCTTGTTGCATGCAAATTATTGCATACTGTTTGTGTTGCATGCTTTCTACATTCTTTTTAATTTCCTTGTCAGTCAGAAATTATTGCTCTCATTTAACTAATTCAAATATTCTCCAGCATTTACAACAGCCTGTTTGCTTCTATCATACCAACAAATCGAATTAATTGTGTTCACTTCTCGAATCTCTTACCGCCACTCTTTCATAAATGGCAACCAGACTAGATTGCAATCATTTTGGAGTGACTTTACGACTGAGCTTATTCTAACCACATACCTACTGCATAACTGTTTGGTGGAACAACAAGGCTTGATGACCACTCAGCATGTTACCATATTGATAAGACGGAAAACTCCACGGACACCCATATCGCGAGGAGAAACTTGCCTGCCCTAATGAGTTGTGAGCTATGCTAGCGGTGCATGTGCCTCCGTTAGGATCTCGCATGTCGGACAGGTCTCAACTGAAGGGTCAGATAAAGTATGCCCATAATATGTCCACAGTTCCCTAGTCTCCTAACAAACATTTTAGGACTTTGACCTCAAATTTGGGCAGATGGAGCTCGTTTGACCCTGTAGGGCCATCAATTTTCCAACAAAACCTACTTCCGCACTAGACCCTGGCAGATGAACCTTAGTAAGACGAGATCGGTTTGTGCCTCATTAAAAAAATCCAGTGCGCAAATTGGTAACGTTTGCAACAAGCGTGGGTAGAGCTCTTCCCAAGTCTTTGTTCGTGAAGTCTAGTTATGAAGATGATGATCAATATGAAAGAGGTTGAAGTTCAGAAACCGCCCAGTCATCGATTCTCCATCATTTAAGAATTACTATCACTAAGGATCGTCTCTCCCCTTTTCTTTCCTCTTCCACATTGCCACACTCTTTTTCTTTCATTCATGAATTCGTGTGGCAAAGCGACGCGTCTTCATTTCACTGAGTACGTGGGTATTATTCACTCAGGGTTCAGAGGGTCATAGTTTCAATTTATTCAGAAGGCGCGGCAATCATCGATCCCTATATTTCTAATTCTTATAGCTTGATAATATGTATGCTCCCTCCTTCTCTTTTTTTAATCTGTGTAGGATATTCAAATGATAGCAAATCTATATTATGATGTTAAGATTGCGCGATCTCAGGATGCAGAACTTTGTAACAGTATACACTTGCACAAATTTGCATATATTAAGATAAAATTGGCTCAGTTTGTTTTTGATCAGATCGGTGACCAAATGATGAATATCGATTCCATAAAGGTAGGTTTCTCTTCATTTTCTTTTTTAAAACTCATTAAAAATTCTGCTTTAAATGTTTGCACCACATTGTTTAGAGTATACGCATAGATTATTGTTTAAGATTACTGATGCCGTTGAGGAAGATTTAGAAACAAATGAAACCAATAAAAATGAAAGCAAAAATGAAAACGGAGAAAAAGATAGCGACGAGGATGAGCTGGATGATGATGAATTCGAAGTGGATCGCATCCTAAATGTTGCTGCAATGGATGGAGAAGTGAAATATCAGGTTGCAATTAGGCTTTACTTTTTTCAAGTTCGGTTAAATCAGTTTTGAAATTTCATTCCAAATCGGTAACAATATGAGGTTCCATCTTCAATTTGTCTTTTTTCAACTTTTTTTCTCTTAGGTACGGTGGAAAGGTTACGGATCAGATGAAGACTCTTGGGAACCTGAATGGAATCTGGAAACAGCACGACTAATCCTTGATAAATATATTGCAAGTCATCAGGACGAGGTAAAGAAGGCTCAAGATATAGTCTTAACTCGGAAAAAGTTAAGAAAACGATGTGGAAAGCAAATAAAACTGCAAAATAAAGTAAATTTCTTTACAATAAAGCAAAGAAGTATGTGTTACTTTGCTGTTACTTTTGGATTCTACTCAGATTCAAAAGAAGTTGGGTATTGAGATTTTCTGTTAACCATTTGTATTTTTATATTACTGCCTACTGTGAAAATTGCGCTGTTTCGGAGGCTTGTTGGTTGGCAGCTACGACTAGTTGTGCGAAGGGCTTGCAGACTTCGAAATATTTATTTCCTAATACAAGTAGAAGTAGTGGAAACATTCGGTAAATAGTAATTCGGTATCAATCACTGATCAGAGTTTGAAATCCTTGTGGATATGGTCTAAGATATTTGTTGTGCGCTGCTACTTGAGGAGTTGTTAATCCGTACCCTCTCAGCCTCCCGTTGTTAGGACTTTTATATTGGATGTGTAACCTCTACAACCTTTAAATAAGGACATGTATGACTTTTGTGACATTTAAATAAAGGCGTGTAAGATTATTAAAACAATAAATAGCGGCATGTATACAAAGAGCGACTTGTAAGATCAGAAGCGTATAATATTGTTATAGTAGTATGTGACGACATGTTTGACCTTTGCAGTATTAGGACAAGGGCGTTGAAAGCAGCATGTTTGACCTCTATAAGATTTAAAGTCGATATATTTAAAGCATTTAAAAATCTTCCAGTTTTCCGATACTACCCAGTCATTCATGGAAGTTCGAAAATTCGTTAAAATGGAAATTAATGGGTTGTAATTTGTTGAGATATGTGATATGCTACCACTTTCAAATTATATTTATTATAGAGAAATAAATTACGACGAAGTTCTAGCTCGGAATATTCAGAAACTGCCAAGACAATGAATATTCGAGACAGGAGAAATGATAGCGATAGTGGTGAGGACTATGAAGTTTTCAAGAAGCGCAAGAGGTAATTTTAATAATCCACCGACTTTTCCATGGCAAAAGGTTTTGTTTTCCTGCAGAGCGAAAGTTCCTTTCAATCCAAGAAGTTTAGAAATGATTAAGACTTTATTTCTTATCTATTTATTTGTTATCTTTATTTATTTGTCATCTATTTGTTTTTTTTTTTTGTTATCTTTATGTTACACCAACAGTCAGTTCTTACATTCTTCTGAAGGTGATTAGGTTAACATTCGCGTTAAAAAATTCATTCTCTTTATGAATTTCTATAACTAGTCAGAAAAAAGCTTTTCATTTCATGCGTGATTTCAGTAGATATCGAGCAACACGTACTAAGCTAGGAAGAACTAAAATTGCATCCTTGTCGACAAATAAAGAAGACAAACCATTTTCCAAGGTTTATTTTCTATACAAATATATTTAAATTATAACCTAATCAAATAGGATAACACTTTAATAAATTCCAGTTTTATTTAAGTCTATTTCCAGCTAAAGCTGAAATGCGACATATTTCGTATGTGCTCGGAAAATTTTCGTACTCCAGCACTGATTTTAATAATGAAAGGTTAAGAAAATTGAGTAATATCGATCATCGTTTAAATTTGAGGACTTATCACCAAAAAGGGCAAAAAATGCTTGGCTCTATGATGATGCCGAGGATGCAGATTCCGACGCTTCAGAGGGTAGCGGAGGAGCAAAAAAAAAGGTCTATTTGCATATCACTATATTTGTAATTGGGTAATAAGTTGGTTCGAAAGTGTCTCATGTCTTTTTTCTGGACTTGATTTGGATTTATGATTTGATTCAAGAAATTTGAATTATTGATATATAACATTGGTCTCGACTAAGGAGCTGTGCTTTTTTCTTGGTTGATGTTTTTCTTGACCGATAAATATTTCTTTTTTAGATGTTTTTCTACATAAGACAAAAGAAAACAGTCAATTGAAGGAAAATGTTGCTACTAAAAAAAGCAGTATGTCACTGACAACGGCTGAAGAACAATGCGAAAGCAATTCGGATGAAAAACTCATTGTTCTGTTGAATAAGAAACAGAAAAAGAAGGAAGAAGCTCTTCCAAAGGTAACCATAAAGTCAAAGTCTTTTAATTCTTTAATCTATAGGATTGCACGTATTCTTTCATTGTATCTCTCATTCTAATTGATACTAAATCATATAATAATGATGATTACTAGTATTTTATCTGGAGAATCTGTTCTCCTTTAAAATACTTATAATAAGACAATGGCTTGCTACCTACAAGGTTCTGATAAAAATGTGATTAGCTTAACTAATTATGTTTTGCGACTTTTGGTATATTCAGTGGCATTTTCAGGTCGATGTACTGGAAGAAAGTATGTCGAAAAAAATAATGTTCAATAAGTCCATTTTCTGTTTGATCCTCAATATAATGTTACCAAATAATGCCAACTCTTGTTAAAACTTCTGTTTCATAGTTTTTTTTAAGTTTCAATCGATTCGATGCAAGCGAGAAATTAGGATTATCACTTATTTTATTTGCGCCAGTTAACTGTTAGAAATCATCTTATGACTTCGTTTATGATTTTGCCACATTTCAGATCATTTTCATGTTGACAACTTTACATTCTGTTAGAAATGATTTTTTAGAAAAATCTATCACAGCTTTTTATCATTATGCTTAATTAAAAGAATGTTATTGACAATTTCCGCAACAGTAAATGACGTGTTCGATTTTTAGACTATGAACCAAAAGTGGAATTTATTGGTATTGTTCAGTGCCACGATGGTGCGGTTAAGGTAATCTATACAAAAAGAATGAGACAAAGGCACATATAGTATCTGTGAGAGGTAAATTTATTAAATTTCATTTTGTAATTTCTTATGAATTTAAAATCAAAACAAGCGAAATAATGGTAATCAGTCACTTTAGCAGCTGACTATATGAATCCCATTTATCAGTATGACTGTATAATGCTGCTTGAAAATTTGTGACATTTAATCCGGGAATAAATACGAACAAATGTGCTGTTTCGTTTATTATTCCCTGCCAAATAGCGTTAAATGTGATAAAATGTCAACTAGTATTATCCAGTTGTATTGATCAAATAGCAGCTTTCAGTGCTAATGAACCTAAAAGAGCTTAACAGTTTTGTTTAATTTTATGTGGCCTAATCTAAGTCGAAGTTGCACGGCATTTAATTGCACGAATACGTTTTTTTTTCTTTTATAACCAATCCAGAAATCCGATTGAAAGCATGTTTGACAGTTCACATTTCGCATCAATAGATGAATAAAAAACATTGGTGCACTATTTGTTAAAACGAAACTACTTATTTCCGAAAAATCTTATACTCTTGTTGTTTCAGAAGCTTTCGAAATAGATGGCTTCGGCTTGGTGCAGTATTTTATTAGCCGATGCGAATTTGGTGAGCCGCAAAGTAGTAAAGTATAATTCTGAGATAATGATTTGGTTATTCAGACTGGTGAGTTTAGTCTTTTAACTGAAGAATATTCTTTATATTCAGTTGCATCATTTTCACTCTTGCTGCGAACAGTTTCTAATATCATTACTGCTCTTCACTTTTCAAGATTTTTTTTTCCAATAAATAGTAAAGTACCCTTTTTCTACAGTTATCCCTGATGTTACCTTGCCATTGCAAAATCACTTCTGCTTTTTATTCCTATTTTTTTTTCCGTATAAGCGAATCTTAAAGCAGTTCAATTCTACTTCCTTTCAGCTTATGTTACTTTGGAGTATTTTTCATTATTAAGAACACTATAGAAATTAGCCGCTTGCATATTTTAGATTACGATTTGCATTCATTTGTTTTAAGTACCTTTATTTTAAACCTGTATTATCGCATTCCTTCTATTTTGCAACATGTAATTATAAGCTGTTTATCAGCGTTAAATTCAGCTTCTTGCTCAAAGAGCAAAGTTGACAAAGCTGGCAAATGCGCTGATTTAAATACATCGCATATGGAATATATTTTTTACTCGTCAAATGGCCTTCTTTAAAATCCAGTTCTGAATGTTAAAAATTGTTTAAATTTGCTTAATAAAAAAGAAACTTTAAACGGAAATATTTAAATGATCTCTTGCTATGGATTAATTAGTTGCTACTGACTTTTCTCGTATTTTAATTTTCAAATTTATTAGTCTTGTTGATGCTGTTTTTTCAGAAGGCCCATTATTAAAGATTATGAAGCATTCTTAGTCTGCTTCTTTTGATCACTGCGAGTTCTTTTTTCTTTCTTTTTTATCTTGTTTTACAAATTTCCAACTGCAATCTTTCCCGTCAAATTTTATTTTTTTCTGATCAAAAACGTTATCCATCTCCATTATTAATATTGTTCTGCTCCTTATTATTACTGATAGGTCCTTTCTTGGGACTTATTTTCTTATTTCATCATTTAATGCAGTTATTTTTTATGTCTAGCAATTTTTTTTTTTGTTGTCTGCTTATCCACTCTTTGTTATTGATACTTTACCCTTTAGATTTTATTGTTAAGTGATGCTGTGCATTCTATAAATTTGTTAGATTTCGTATATGATTGCTGAAGATAAGAATAATTTTTTGGATTCACTATCAAAAAGTTAATTTCTGATAGTTCGCTGATGGGTCATTCTCTTTATCAAATGGTATGTGAAACGCACACTCGACTTTTATAAGTGTAATTAAGAGTTGCTGATAACCTCTTGTATCTATTTGATAGGCATTTATCAATTTTTTTTCTACCTTACGTAAAGATATTCTGTTTTTATGGCATCACTAATTCATTTCGAGTTATTACTGGGCAATGACAAAAAAGCAGAAGTTCTAGGAAGATAATTTTAAATTCTTATACAAATGGCTAGTAACTAATCCCTGTCCACTAATGGCATCATTTTGGAAATATTTGGCTTAAGCCGGAATTAGCATGTATAAACAATGGATGGGAAAGAGAAGGTACTTTTTCATATTTCTTATGAAAAAAAAAAAACACGTGAAGCTTTAATCATTATGCTCAGTCCTCGCCAGCATCCTCTCGAAGTTCTGGGCTGAAAGATCAAGTCGACAGCTTAATATTTCCTTTTACGGAACAAAATCATAAATGATTGCCTCCAAAGATCTGGCGAGCAGTGATTTCTTTTCTACTTTTCCAAACCGCTTAAGACATTTATACTTTATTTGTTTTAAAACTCTTTCCTTTACTTCACTCAAAGATCCGAATTAGCAATGACTTTCCAAAGTTTTTCCAATGTCGATGACAAGGTTAAGGGATGAGACTCGAAAAGTTCTTGAAACAATTCCAGCCTGTTTTATCAGTTCAACAATCTTACCAGAGCTAACTACCGCACATCTTTCTCTTCCTATTTTTTTCCGGTTTCAGCTTGAGACAGGAATCAAAACTGATTGTATTCTATTCTGTTCGTGGTTCAATATGACCTCCTAGTGGGCTTCATAATCTATGAAATGATTGCTTATTCAGTCTGGACGATATTTGAATCCTGGAATTTAATTAGGAGTCAGGAAAGTAATTTTCGCTTAATGTTATATTGTCAATATTATCATTAATTTCCCTCTGAAGAAGGGAGTGCTACACTGAGATACTGAGATGGGAGATTATTTAGAACTTGGCTGTGTCAGTCATCACCGAACAATCCAGTGTGATATTTCTGCCTTCATAATGACATATTAATGGTCAAGGGAAAGAAGAGTTCACTAGATTTGTCGCGATTCAACTGAATTCACTTCTGTGTGGTTGGGAAAAGTTAAGTCGAGCAACTTAATTTTACGAATGATATTGCTTATAAAGTCGTTGTGAAAAATAAGTGTTGCAAATTATGCTAACATTACGTTTATTTGTAATATAGACAATATAGATAAGTAATATAGATAAATGATACTTATTCAGGCTTTATCAGAAAACTTCTATAAACAGAATACGGTGAAAAACTGATATTAGTGAAAGGATATAAAGAAAGTCAATGGAGCATCTTTGTATCTTTCGGTCGAGAATTGGAGCTTGTCTATCTGCTTTGAAATTGTGTAGAGTCCGTAATATTTAATTATCTGCCATTGATCTATGTGAAAATTGATTTCAGGACTCACTTACGCACTATTTAAACATTACCAGAAGCGACTGAAAATTAAAGAGGGATTTAAAATCCTCGGGGAAGTCGAAGAATCTTATATTTTGCTCAAAAAATCAAGCAAGTCAATTAACAGTCCACAAGGGCATTTCATTTCCTATCAACCTAACCAAATGCTTACGAACAACAGTGTTTTGCGGTTTTAAATAATTTTAGTTGACTGTTAATTAAAATTGATTT